AGATATTCCAAGTGAAGACAGGTCCTTCTCCTGTCTTTTAATTCGCTGAACTATGTCAATGTCGTCGTATATCAGGTACAGCTCATCGTTCCATCTAATGCGATATTCGCCGTGGCCAACGCGCAAAGGACCATAAATCTTTCGCAGAACTTTTCTCTCGAAAACTCGCAACGTCGACTCATCCGTTTTTGACATCGTCCAAGCCTCTGCACCAAATAGCAGGACGGGAATTATGAGTGACTTATAGAGTTTGGTTTTTGTTTGTCTAGAGAGGAGTTTTAATAAATACATATGTACATATGTTAAATGTATGTATGTATATTACACTGATTCGGGCTTTACATCACACCTAGAAAATTAGAATCAAAACATGCTACTCTAGTGCACAATAGATTTAAAAAAGTTGCTCATTTAAAACTTTTAAATTTATGAATTTTACATACAAAGATATCAAAAATCATAAGTCAGCGGCATCTCCCTATTATTGACTTGTCTTTTCTGAGAGTGCAGTTTTCAAAAACTGTCCCTTCCTCAGTAGAACTATGTCGACCTCCTCCAAGTTTTAAAGGACTATCAGTAATATAAACTCTAAACAAGCCCAAATTCGCACTCAGATAAATATGTTACGAGTGCTACGAAAATTTGTGTAGCCAAGATCTAATTGATTTCGCTCTTATAGTTTCTAACAGGTACTCCAAATCAACAAAAAAAACTCTTTACATTTTAGAATAGCATCCCGAGATTTTCTTGTTAAAATGGTATGTAAGTATAGAGCAGGTCCTCCAGATTAAGAAAAAATATGTATGTATTTAGTTGTCGCCGACTAATGATTTTTCAGATATTTGGCTTTGAACTTCAAAAATTCCAATCGGGGGATTCTATTCTAAATCCCAGGATTTTGCATTTTTAAGAAACTCATGGTAGGATTGAAAGTTGAAATAAAATATTTTGCAAAAATATTTATAATATATTTCAAAGTTCACTACGGTTATTATTTCTTCGATAGCGTCTAAAATTTACCAAAATGCTCTTAAAAAATCGAAAATTTTTTTTGCTTAAATCTCTTTAAAAATAATCTAAGAATATGTCTCCAAAGTTATATGTATATGGGATTTCAAAATATTTTCGAAGCTAGAAGAGAAATAGTGACCGAGCGTCTAGCAGATATGTATGTACATATATGAGCGCATGTGCACAAAGCGAAAACTTAGACGAGCGATTTCTCGGTTTTTCATTATTACAATTTTTCTTAATTGGCGGGCAAGATAGAAAAAAACTAAACGTCGTATGGAATTGGGGCAAAGTTTGTTACCTTTGGCATTGAATTATCTTCTATTTAAACTAAAAAAAACTAAAAAAAGTTAAGTTTGAACATATTTTTAAACAACAAAAAGTCAAAAGCAAGCACTTTGAGACTACAAGGTGATCCAAGCAGCATGCACCTCGGCTCTCAAGGCTGTCCCGGAGAATGCCTTCCGTGACGCCTTCAATTCTTAGAAATCGCGCTGACAACGCTGAATCGACGCAGAAGGAGCCTATTTTGAAAGTTTTTAAAGAATTGTAACGTGTTACTACCTTATTTCTTGAGCTGTAATCAAGGAAGTTTAACAGCTGGTGACGAATTGTGAATGATCCATATTAGAAGAGCAAGAGAAAATAAAAAAAAGAAACTAAACTTATGCGCGTGAGTAAATATTTTTATTGCGATTTAAGGGGCTATACCAGTGTGACAGTAAAAAAAAATTTTTTATTTGCTTTTTCGATAGCTTATATTTCCATAATCATCCTCTGAATCGGTTCTAAAGAGAGACCACCCGCAGTTGCAAGCATATACATATGTACATATAAGTGAAATTTTTAACACGTTTTTCTCGAAACGACATTTTTCAAACTTGCTGACTTCATAACTCAACGAGAAATTAACCGACTGACTTCAAATTAAAACTGAGTATTTTTGAATAGATTTGCCATACAATGAGGTACGATCTTTTTGATTGGTTGAAAATTGTCAATTTGGCATTAAAAAATTAAAATTTTTTTTCAAAATTACGTCTTTTTGTAAATGTTTGATATTTTTCAAAGATTGTACGTCATTGTATAGGAAATATAGGAAATATATATGTATAAGTTTAATTAACTTTTAATTTTTTTTTTGTTTCAGCTACTCATTCGGCCAGAATCATGCCAGCAGTTTTGGCATTTTTTTTACAATTCTCGTGTCTGATTTTTCGATGTACAATTTCACATAGATTTTCTATGTATTTGAGATCTGGTGATTGTGCAGACCACTTCAAAACATTAATCCTGTTCTCAACAAACCACTGTTTTACTCAAATAGCAGTGTGTTTCTATTATTTGTCATGTTGAAAAATCCAGTTTAAAGTCATTTCTTCTTCAGCATGTGGCAACATAATATTCAGAAAAATAATTTTACACTAAAATTTGTATATTATACCATTGATATGATAATTTGGCCCTATGCTTTGCCCTGAAGAAGACCCCAACACTAGTACATTGTCTCCACCGTGTCTGTCGTATGACGTGGACTGAGACGGTCTTTCGGTCTGCGTACCAGCTTCAACCCATCTGAATCTTTCCTATTAAAATTCGATTCGTTGGGGAAATGTACAATTTCCATTTCGTAATCGTCCAATTTATGTGAATCCTCTCATATTCCAGTCGCGCAAGTCCGTTCAAAGAAATGCAGGGTTTTTTTTTGCTGCAAGCATGAAAATATACCCTGAAGAGCTCGACGTTGCATCAATCTCTGTAATTGCCTTAAAATAGATGCTGCAGATATAAAAAGGTAATTTTATATTGGCCGAATGGCTGCGTTATCTTCTCGCCATGCATTGTAACTAAAGAACTTGATGTGCGAACTTTTTTGCAATAGTCATAACCGATTCTCCTTTCTTAAAATCGTTAACAATTTTTTCCCTAAAATGGGAATTCATAATTCGAGCCATTGATACTTTAACAAACAACCCAACCCAACCCCTTTTAATAACGAACTGCAACTGAATATGCACTAATATTTTTCAATTAGCTAATAATTATACATATCCAACATTTGCTGATCATTAAAAACCGTTAGACAAACAATCATGTGCTGAACACATAGAGCGTGAAAATGTCACTTTAAACAGAATATTAAAATTGTGTTTGTTGTTTTGTGTACATGCCGACCATTGTTATGTCGCTGACTTCTTACAAATGTTCATGTCGGAGCATTTACGACGCCATTTACAGTTCACTGTCGCACTGTCATGCCGTGTCGCTCTATATGTGTTCAGAGCGTTATTGTGAATTCTTGGTTATGTGCTCGATTCGTAAATGTATTCTATTCGTACAAATACGTACAATTTTCGTTTTTGCTTTCTGCAACTCAAAAGTTTACTAATATTTTATTCGAAAATTCACTTGAAAATCCGAAAAGCGAGTTACAGAATATAAAAAATCAGAATTTGAGTAAATTCCAAGTTAGAGAATAGGCCCCAGATTTTTGGAATTCTTTGAATTAGTTTAATTTTTACTAAATTAAATAAAAAGAATGCATGAACTAATAGTACAAATAAATAAAACATCAGTTAATGCTTACTTTATTTTTTTAGTTACATATTGAAAATGCAGATTCCGTGTCTTAGTTTTGTCGCACACTGTACATCCGTTATCGCAACTCAACATGGAAAATTATTTTCCAACATTTTTATATTAAAAACGTTAATTAACATTCTTAATAAAATATTAGTAAATATATTTTTTTACACCCTATATAAAACACACTGCTTTGACAACATTGAGTTGTAAGCAAGGGACGATCAAAACAAAACTGCTTTTTCATTCTTGTTTTTACCACTGGTTCGCCATTACGTTCAAACTTACTATATACATATTTGCTATTGTACAAAGAAAGCCACAACTGGTCTAAACCAAAGAAACGTGTTCAAAACACCATAGTATGGTATATTATACACTGGATAGTTCAATGAAGTGGATGGCTGACTGATTAACTGCATTACCTACATGGGTTGGCATGCCAAAAAACAGGAAAAATATTAACCCAAAGGAAGAAGAATCAAGCATGAAAAATTTTTCTTCTATTCAATGAGAGAAATAAAACTAATAAAATAAAGTCTCACCTTTATTTTAGATCAAACCGCCACTGCACTTTCTCTAAGCCACTCAATTTGAAATATTCGTACTATTTCTCAGCTTTATTTCAATGTAAAACTACTTTTTTATTAATGTAAGATAAACGTTCCTTCAACTCTAGATGAAAAATAATTCCTAATACTAAAAGGAAATGGCGAGAAGCAAATTAAAAATTCAATTACTATCTCTTTCGAACTTTATTATTTTGTACCTCGCACACGAAAGAGACAAAATCAAACACAAAAATGTATAAATTGTGAATGGGCAATTAAATGGTCAGGTCAAAAAGGACAGTGATGCATTTGCAATCGTATGGGAATATCTAGTTTCGATAAATTATTTCATTGCAGTATAAAAATAATAACTGAAGTATGTAGAGAATTCATTGCAAAGTTGCTAACTTTTTAAAGCACTCACCAAAATATAAACATAGCATTGATTAAATGATATCTCCTCCCATCGAAATATTGATTTTTAAACTGTTGTTATGAAAAGTACTTAAATTACTACCATCTTTCACACCACTGACAGTTGTTCTTTTTAAAACAATTATTTCTATTAATTCACGAAGTGAACTTAATTTCCGAGTATCCACTTTATGTGGAAGTTGGTATCATGTACTAAGCACACATCGGTAATGAGATGGAAACACAAATAATATGCACATTAACCTTAGTCAACCCATTAAATATTTTTTAAAGGAATTCGTGAGATTTATACAACTGTAACTAAATATCTGAACTTACCTCAAGCTACCAAATATTCAAATTCTCTCATTGACGAAGCATATCTATTTTGATTAACTCTAGAGGGGTTCATTCAATGTTAGAGCGCATCGCTTTCACAGTTCTCATTCACAATAAACTTTAATACTGCACTAGTCTTTTCTTGTGCGAATACAAAGAAATTTCGTTTACTTAATTTATCGCCATGCATGTACACAATTCACTTTTCAATTACTTCACTTTTATAAATATTTTGATCTCAATGAATTTTATAAACTTTTGTAATCTCCAAATATGCTTGTCACCACCAAGCTTATGTGCACTTATCGAACATAATAGAACGTACTACAGATTCAACTCGACTTGCGCCAGTGTGAGCACAATCTTTTATTTGGAGCTTCATTCATTTAACTTACAAAAAAAAACAATCAAATGAAAACTTGCTGACATGATTTTAGTTAACTACATTTACAAATCATATATTTGTTTATAAATTACCACCAAATCCGCCTTTTCAATTGCCTTTAGACAACAATCATTTCAAATATATTATTCAATCACATTAGCCGATTTTCAATGTAATTTATAGTAGATATTAAAGTCTTTACATTGTGAAAATTTGTTGACGACCAACACGAAATACGAAACTTTTCTATACTAGAGCAGTGCTGTCAAAACGCGTTCATCGGCTCAACGACCCGCCAGGGGAGAACATAACAATGTGCATAAGCAGGACAGCACTTCGCACGCCCACTCGTTGATGTCGATGCATTTCGTATTCGGTAGTTTGTCGGGATATCAATGATGCCTAAGTAATAAATACTGCTGATAATTTAATACGAGCAAATAAAGTGATTATTTCCACAATAGTTGTCAATTTATCCATTACGAGCTCCATTGAATAAAAACTTCATTTTAGTGAACTGCTTGCAATTTTTTCATGAATGAAACTATTGCAAGTCAGTTATGTACTTAATTTACCGCTTTTTCTAATTGCATTTTGTTGATGAAAGGGACGACTAATGTTTTCATTTTACGTTTGGAGACGACTAATTTTGTAAATGCAAGGTTACACATCCAAATAGTCTATTGTGAACATTTATTTTAAAACCAGATATGTAAAAATAATCTTTACTTTACTTTAATAACTTCTCATATTTTTTCAACTAAATTAAAATGTATTTAAATTTGTACAAATATGTACTAAGGAAACCCTTAAGATCAAAAATGACAAAACATTAATATTATAAATTATCGAATTAGCCGCGATATAAAAATTATATTTTGAAAAATATGGGAAAAATATGCACTTCACATACAGTTACATAATATAAGAAAAATAATAAAAACAGGGGTGCATAAAAATAAAACAAAAAATTCATTTCTAGTAAGCCATGAAAATTTCCGTCGGCAACGGTTTTATCACTCAAGAACCGAACACATAGAGCGCGACAGACTGCATGCGACATCTGTGAAATATTAAAATACCCACGTTCTTATGGACACAGTTATTTAGACAGCTGCACAACTGCAGGCTGTCAGTTGTCGCTCTCGCTAATTTCAAAATGTTTGTAACGGGTGATTTTTTAAGAGCTTGATAACTTTTTTAAAAAAAAAAACGCATAAAATTTGCAAAATCTCATCGGTYCTTTATTTGAAACGTTAGATTGGTTCATGACATTTACTTTTTGAAGATAATTTCATTTAAATGTTGACCGCGGCTGCGTCTTAGGTGGTCCATTCGGAAAGTCCA